AACAGAAGAAAAAGAATGTTATGCAGGAAATTATTAGTCTTGGCCACAGCCCATTGAGATATTGTTCAAATTTTTTCTCAGTAAAGATCTCTCTCTCTCTCTCTCTCTCTCTCTCTCTCTCTCTCTCTCCTCTGTTTTTACAGTCTTCCCTTTTTACTGGAGAAATTTTTCAATTCATGTCTTACAAATGCAGGGTCAGGAGTGATGTGGACTAGCTTGGCATGTGAGAACTTCAGTAGAGCAGTACCAAGTGGACTGAGGAGGACCATGGAGACACCTCCTCCAGCAACAGTGGTCAGCAGGAGCATGCCTCCAGGCAGCTACTCCATCATTTTACATGAGGACCAGTGTGAGCAGCAGAGAGACGGTCGAAGAAAAAAAAATAAAAATAAAAATAAAAATAAATAAATAAACACCATACTGACTTTCACTAGGTAAATAAGTCAGGCAATTATTATCTCAGTCCTTGGAAAAGCAAAACTCTCTGTTGCTCCAGACACCTAAAGTATTTTTGTTACCTATCTGAAAAAAATAATACAAACAGGACTAGATAGGATGAATTCAAGCCCGTAGCATGAGGGGAATTTGAAATTTAAATGCTAGTGGGCCTCTTAATACATTGGAGGAAAGCTGCAATGTGGCTTGCCAAGGAAATGGGACCTTTGACTTAAGATTAATCTCTGCCTACAATTGGCACCAGCACTATGGGGCACTCTGACTGGTTGGTTCTCTGCTCTTCAGTTATCGTATCTACAAAAAAAAGATTTTTCTTTATTTTGTGATCAATATGTTTTACTTTATATGAGATTTATATCAAATGTAAGTAATATATAATATAAACGGGATGTGGTGGCACATGTCTCTAATTCTAGCTCTCAGGGGATGGATGCAAGAGAATCAGAAGTTCAAAGTCGTCCTCAACTACTAATCAAGTACATAATCCTAAGAGAAATATAAATATTCAACAAAGAAATCCAAATAGAATTCAGATGACTCAAACCACCCTGAAGGTCTCCAAGGACAGTTACATGTTTTCACAATGTTGATTACACTGCCACCAATTTGTTAGTAACTTCTGAAATTGAATCACCAAGGACTGTTTTGTTGTTCATGCAGTCACTCTGTGTGTGCTGTCAGCAATATAAAGCAAATGCTGCTGTTACAGAAATTACAGGGAGGCCTGCCTCTGCCCCCTGCCCTGGAAGATCAGATAAACATCTGTGATAGAACTAGATTTCTCAATGTAGGTCAGGCTGGCCTCCAACTCACAGAGATCCACCTGTCTCTACCTCTCGAGTTCTGGGATTAAAGGCATGTGGCATCACACTCAGCTTTCCTGTTTCTTAATGCTACTCATTCTTCCTTTGAACAGTGCACTGGGAAATCTGGAGTAAGATGCCATTTCAGATGCAGAAAACGAAGAGGAAACTACAGTGAATCTCATTAGAGAATCAATGAAAACCTAGCTTAGCATTTACATTGTGGGGGAGAGCAAGAAGAGAGAGGGGACGCTTATGTGAGGTGGGTAGTTAGATGATGAAATGTGAGCATGGGGACAGTGCAAGCACAAGCCTCCTCACCAGCTACCGTTCCTCAAATCGTGGCTCTCTCAAGACCTCCACTGAAGAACAGTCAAACGAACGTATTGTGTTATAGTCTTCCATACTCTGAAAATGAAGGCAGAGGGGGTAAACCATTTAAAAAACTGGAATACGTTTCATCGCAACTGATACTTCTGAAAAGGGACCGGCATTCACTTCTGATAAACTGTTATTCCGAAGGAACATGAAATTGGAAGTTTTCTGCAATGGTCGCTCTCTCCTTTTCCTGACATGATCACTCTTTCCTTATCTAAACATACTTTGATGAGACAGTGACTATTTAATAGAAATACAATGGGAGAAAACACCTCCACCTAATAAAACTACTAGTATCAAAGGATAAAAATAATAGAGGTATTAGAAATAATCTTGCAAGAAGCTCCCCATATCCCCAGTTACTGAAATGTGTTTGTCATTTTGGGGGAGATGGGGCATTCAGACTCTTCTTGAGCCTAAACTATCAACCAAACATAAGTATTTTAAATATATACTTTAATTCACTAAGTGAAAGATAAAAACTGAGTCTTAAACACTCTTACAACTCTCAGACTGACCATGGAGTTTTGCATAGGTTAAGTGTCCAGAGGCTACCTGTTAATGCTAATTGAAAAAGCATTTAAGAGAGAAAAGGGTAAAAGTTTACTATTTATTTAATGAGATTGTTTCAAGCTTTATTTTATCCAGTTACAAAAATAAATAACTCTCAGTCTACATGGGTCTCCCCAATGCACTGCAGACCATGGGTGTGCTTGTTACTAGATAAAGTGATGTCTCAGTCAAAGGACCTGTTACCACAGGCTTAACCGCAATGTTAGAAGTAATTTGATTTAGCAAAATTCATGAACTAAAACACAAAGTCCTTGAAATCTAATAAATTACTATATTAGGCACTTTAAAATTTAAATAAGCATCCAAATGTCTCTTTGAGTATGATTGGCGGTCTCTCTTAGCCATACAGAATAAAAGTTCTGATAGGAGGGAATGGACATCACAGGAGAAGGCTGGAATGAGAATGTCGGAGGCTGTTATAAATATTAAACATTCTACAGTTGAAAGGAGAACAGGAGAGGAGGGAGAGAGGGAGGAAAGGAGGGACGGAGGCTTAAGTCTGATCTAGCGCTGTGTTCAATCTGTCAGTCTTCCTCTGGCAAATACACAACAAGATACCATCTCCCATGAACCTAGAAGAGGGGCGTTTTTCCTTGTTCCAAAATAATTCCTGTAAACCCTGAGCACTGTGCCTTGCCAACTTGGATTTGGGGGACTGTTTAGATTACCAACTTTGGTAGAAAGTCAGTATGAATTTCCATTCAGAAAGAAATGAATAGCTACCAGTATAACCAAGAAGCAAGCCTGCAGTAGTTATTACTGAAGTGCAAAGCCAGTTTTCTCTGCAATCTTTTGTTGCTATGTCACAGAAAATACACTATTATCTGCCTCTGTTGCAGCCTGAAAGCTCCTTCTGGGAGTAGCTTGTTTCTGGTTGGGACTCTAGTCTCAATGTTATAAGCTCTGTAAATAATAGGTGCCCATTCAATATTTATATGAAGGAATAGATGCTCATTATTTATTTGAACAATAAGAAAGAACAGAAATCTAAAGTATCTGTGTTTTTCAACCTTTTTCAAAGGTACACATTTGATGCAATCAGGGCAGTTGTCTTAAAATATAAGAAATTAGCTTTTTCTTCTACTATACAAATCTGTCAGTTTTTTTCTGTAACTCCTTGAATTAATCTAAATTTTCTCACTGAATAATTAATTCCCTAATAATACAATGAAAAATTAAAGACTATTGTATTATTATTGACTGTAGTATCCTTATGAGAAGAAATTTATTTATCACATTTTCTTTTACAAGGTGGACATTCAAGAAGAACTGTTTAAAAATGAATTTCAATGAGGTCTAAGTTTTAACATGAAGAAAAGAAGACTTCACTGAGCCTATATCTTACTGTGGTTCCTGTACAATATGCATTTGAGAAGAGAGATGCTTGGACTGCTGGAAGGTGCTGAAATGGACAGTGGTAAATGCCAAAGAGAAAGGTGGGCTACTTTATAATTTGTTCACAAAAGCTGACTTATATGACTTATTCCTGGATGTTGTTTGAGCAAGGTAGGTAAGTAGGCAGGCAGGCATTCAGGCAGGTAGATATGTACATACATACATACATACATACATACATACATACATACATCAAAAACCCTGAAAACATAGTACCAAGATTGGGAAGATGGATGGTGAGTGAGTGGAAAGAATGATTTGAGGATGGAAACAGCAGAAATTGCTCAAATAAGATGACAGAGATGAACTGAATTCTGAGTGTGACTTAAGAGCACAGGGTTGATCAGGCTGACCAAGCACAGTACTGCAGACCACTCCTTCTGGACTCCATCTTTCACCCAGAGCATCACAATAAGACATCAGGTTTAGGCTCAATTTTCCTTATACCACCACTTCAGAGGGCTTGAAAAACCTTCTATCTGGCCAGGCATGATGACACACACCTTTAATCTGAGTACTTGGGAAACAGAGACAGGTGGGTCTCTGTGAGATCAATGCCAGCCTGGTCTACATAGTGAGTTCCAGGTCAGCTGGAGCCACAGGGAAACCCTGTCTCAAAAAGACCAAAAAAAAAAGGCACCTACTTAAGAAATTCTTTTCATTGGCCAAATGCAGGAATGACAAACCAAAGCACAATGCTGTATTTTAAACTTTTCATCTCTTTCTTTGGAAATAATTTGAAATTCAAAGAATAAAATTGCCCCCCCCTTTGGTTTTTTGAGACAAGGTCTCCCTGTAGTCCCAGCTGGCCTGGAACTCGCTATGTAGAGCAGGTTGGCCTCAATCTCACTGAGATCTGCCTGCCTCTGTCTCCCAAGTGCTGGGATTAAAGGTGTGCACCACCATGCCCGGTCCCCAAAATTGACACTTTAAAACTAATGTGTCACTGTTAAAAATTAATGACAACATAATATCCTCAACATAAGATTCTAATTATTGCTTTTGAGAAATAGGGTATTTTAGAATGGTGGAAATGAAGAGAGAGAGAGAGAGAGAGAGATATGAATATGGGAGAAAAGAACTCCAAAGATGTCATAACTTCTTCCAGGACATGAATACATACAATCTATGTCTTGAGGCAATAGAGTTGAGGAACTATATACTGTGCATACATATGATTTCTGCATTATTTGGTTTTAATCTGACATATTTAGAAATATAGTTTATAATCAAAGAATTAGAAACATAAGAGCAACGTTGATATTTCCTATAGAAGCCAATGGCACGAGTACATTAACAAACAGATTATAAAGCAAAAAAAAAATCACATGATATGAGCTGGTGGCTGCAACGTCTGCAGTCAGGCTCCACTGCCAGTTCCTTAGAGCTCTTCTCTGTTCAGGTCCAGGCGCTTGCGACTTGGTGCAAAACAGTGATGAGAAATCACACGGCAATAACAACATTCATCCTGCTGGGGTTGACAAATGACCCAAAACTACAAGTTCTAATTTTCCTATTTTTGTTTCTCACCTACATGTTGAGTGTGACTGGGAATCTCACCATTATCTCCCTCACACTTTTGGATCCCCATCTTAAAATGCCCATGTACTTTTTTCTCCGAAATTTCTCTTTCTTAGAAGTCTCATTCACAACGGTTTGTATTCCCAGATTCCTGTACATGTTAGCTACAGGAGATAATACTGTTACTTACAATGCCTGTGCCACACAATTGTTTTTTGTTGTCCTCTTTGGAGCAACAGAATTTTTTCTCCTTGCCGCCATGTCCTATGACCGCTATGTGGCCATCTGCAAGCCCCTGCACTATACCACTATCATGAACAACAGAGTGTGCAGCACCCTCGTTCTCTTCTGTTGGCTTGCTGGCCTGCTGATCATTCTCCCCCCTCTTGGCATAGGCCTGCAGCTGGAGTTCTGTGACTCCAATGTGATTGACCATTTGGGCTGTGATGCCTCTCCCATTCTGCAGATAACCTGTTCAGACACAGTGTTTATAGAGAAAATTGTCTTGGCTTTTGCCGTACTGACACTCATTTTTACGTTAGTGTGTGTCATTCTGTCCTACACATACATTATCAAGACCATTCTCAAGTTTCCTTCAGTCCAGCAAAGGAAAAAAGCCTTTTCCACCTGCTCTTCTCACATGATCGTCGTTTCCATCACCTATGGCAGCTGCATCTTCATCTACATCAAACCATCTGCAAAGGAAGGAGTGGCCATCAATAAAGTGGTGTCTGTGCTCACAACATCAGTCGCCCCTCTGCTTAACCCATTCATTTACACACTTCGAAATAAACAAGTCAAAGAAGCTTTCAAAGACACAGTAAAACGAATCATATTTCTTACAAAGAAGTAAGAGTCTTCTATTGTTGTTTTTCAGGCTAGCTTAAATTTAATCTAAATAACCACAAGAAGCATTTGTGGATTTGAAAACTGTGTTATTTCCTTGCATCAGGAAGATTCATCAAGATAATTTCCCCCCAAGAACATTTTTCTCTTATGATCCAAAAATGAAAGTCGAGCAGCTTATTAAACTTCTTATAAGTTTATTTTATTGAGAATAGTTTCAACTATTGTGTACTCCAAAGATCAGGTTACACAAATACCCAGTGTCATAAAAAGGAAATGCAAATAATAAGAGTTGCATTTTTGACCATAGGGCCTTCTCATCATGTGAAATCTAAATACCCAGAGACCATTACTCACTCCCCCCACCCAACTGTTCAAGGTTAATTAAAGCCTTTTTAAATCTCTACCATGTTTAAATGTGATCAAAGTTCCAGTACTACAGGGCTAATAACTTTTAGCTGTTTATGTATTGAGCAAACAAATAACTGGATTATGTCAGAACATAGGTGATGGGGAAATGCTGACAAGTCTACCACTAAACTAGAGACAAAATATCTTCCTCTCTTCTTCTGTCCTGTTACCTCATCTTCTGCATCAAGCTCACCACAATCAAAGAGCTCAGCTTCTACTGCTAACTCGGGCATTTTAGGGGATGATTGTCCTGGTGCTGTCAGTATATCAGTATCTGAGTAGTTCATGTACAAAACTGTATGGCATGCTCCTCTGAAAATCTCCCCCATACACAGCAGTGTTCTCTGTCCAGGTGCCTTATTGAAGAGCAAGGGGAAAGGTAAGTTTTTTAGCTAGTTTTGTTGAAAATCTGTACAGACAGCTTAAGTGGGGAATGAACACTTCTTTTGAGACTGATCTGATACGTGAATGCTCTTGTGACAAAGATAGGTGTTAGACAGGAAGAAAAATAAAAGAATAAGGCAATTGCTTAGATATATGCCAAGTGGCCTTTAAGGAGAGCATATTATGTTCCCATGTTTAGTTTCTGGAGCCCATGCCCTATGTATGTCTTTTCTTGGATGGGATATTCACTTTCCAGTAGTTTTTCTCTAGGGAAACTGAGCAACCATCTGGCTGTCAACTATGACAATCTTGATAGAAACCCTTAGCCCACTCCCACCTTTATGTCCCCAACACACACCTAAGGCATCTGGACTCCAAGCAGTGATGTCCAAGTCTTTAGATGCCACCAGCATCCCACCCCACCCTGACTGTTTCTGTTCTGTGGTGATGCTGCTTGCCAGCAGCTCTGTTCCACATTGGGGTTTGTCCTCATCCTCTCTAATAACTCTTCCTGTGATGTGGGGTTGGGGCTGCTCCCTCTCATTCCCTATGCAGAGTTCTTTATATCTGATCTCTGGGTAAGGCTCACTGCTCTCAGACCCTATGACTAACGTCCACACTCTGCAGTTGGTATTGCTGTACTGATTCTTTCCTGTTGGCTGTAGCCTGAGTCTATGATTCCCTAAAGAGACTCAGCCACCACCCCTCTAGAGCAGTTAGCCTCCCCTCCACCACAGCTTCCTGTTGGCTGTAGCCTGAGTCTATGATTCCCTAAAGAGACTCAGCCACCCCTCTAGAGCAGTTAGCCTCCCCTCCACCACAGTCTGTGATGCTTGTCACTCTGTGTCTTGACCTTGGTGGTCCTATGTTTTCCATGGCCATTGTGTAGGCAGAGATGCCCAGAGGAAGTCTACACTCTCACTCCTGATATGTCACTGCCTCTCCACCTGCTATTCTGGGCTAAAGATTCTTTACTGAAACTTACAAAAACATATAAAGCTCACTGTGTTGTTTGTAAATGTACATTTTTAAGAGTATGTTACAGTGCTAATGGAGCAACTTCAAAAGTGGTCAGGATAATTATATTCTTCCTTTCAAGCTAATATCCATGGAAGTCTTTCCACTAGCATTCCTGGAAATGGTTTGTGTGTAGTATGTCTTACCACTGAAAATGACAAAGAACAAGACTTCTAAGTGCTGAGTGTCCTCTAATGGCATTGCCATGGAAGACGTTTAGACAGACTCAGAGAACAAGCCTTGAATAACTAAATCTTGGTTGAATAAGTTCTCCACATATTCAACCTTACACTTCCCTTGATTTAAAAAAAAAAGTCAGATTTTAGGTGGACTGGTCAGCATATCAAAGCGTTCCTAATTTGGAAGGCATTCTAAGGTAGATTTGGTTGCTTGGCATAAGCTGATTTCTGAAGATAAAATCCAGGCATGGTGTGAAAGCTGTGGATCGATTTGGGTGAGGGTGGGGGTACCAAACTATGATTCAGGTAGACAAAATTATTGAAATTTTTCTATTAAATTATGAAAGCAGTCTTTTCATTGTTTTCATTTTGTGACTGTAAATATAAAGTTTTGTGTCTTCACAGTATGTAAAGAACTATTATTCATTTTTAGCAAACGTCATCTAATTGATCAGATATATTTTAAATAAGGTCATTGTCATAAAACAATATGTACCTATATACTGCAAAAATATTAAGAGGAGATAACATTCTCCAAAGAATTTTCACATTTAAAATTTCTACAATATCAATAAAACACAACTAAATGTCCTCAGGCTTCCTTCCTGATAATTAATGTAAGCATCCATCTATAGGATCTGTGTGATTTATTGAGTAGTTGGGTTAATAACTTCACCTGAATTGTGAATCCTTAGCAAACACAATTTATACCTATAATGTTGGTTGGCATGGTGATCCACCTGTAATCTCAGCATTCAGGAGGCAGAGGCAGAAGGATCAGGAGTTCAAGGCTAGGCTACATAATGAGTTTACCCATAGCAAGTTCAAGACCATCCTGAACACAAGAGACTTTGTCTCAAAACATTAAATTTTTTTAACTTTTCTTTTAAATTTTGTGCCATTGGGATTGGAAAGATGGCTCAGTCTTTAAGAGTACTGGCTGCTCTTGCAGAGGATCCGAGTTCTGTTCCCAGCACCCACATGCAGCTAACAATCATCCCTAACTCCAGATCCAGGGGATCCAACACCCTCTTCTGGTCTCCACAGAATTGTGGTATACTTACATACATTCAAGCAAAACATTCATATATACAAAATAAAAATAAATAAATCAAAAAATGTTTTAATCCTGTCCCCTTTACCACTCAAAAACCAAGCATATTCAGATAGCCCCAATATTTGAAATTACATAAGTTCAGAAAAGGCAACCATCTACTTCTCTTCCAGGAAATGAGACATTCTCTTCCTGGTCACCCTGTCAATAAGAGGAAAGGCAAATTGAGCCACATTATGCTGAGTCTATAAAACCTTCGCCGAGAGTGCATGTGGGGGAGGAAGGGAGCAAGATGACACAACACCAATAACTAAGGTCACTCTTTAATCACATTTGGTCACTGCTAAAACTGACTTTACCAAGTTGATCAATGAAAATATTCAGAACTTCGTAGAGTTTAATTTTTCACGAAGTTTAGAAGAACTTCACATGAGAGTGGCAATTTTTTTACCATACACGTCCCCAAAGGTATGATTCTGTGCAACCCTGCTCTCAATAATCCCTTCTAGATTTCCTCAGAATTTCCAGTTTCTTCCATCAAAAAGCTTTTGACTGAAGGGATGGGTAGGTGAAGCATGAAACATTCTTCCTATGCCTCATACAACCTCATATATCATACAACAGAGTGCTAATCTAAACTGTTAATCTCTCAACCAGATTATCTAAAACTGCTGAAAGATATCCTGTTTCCAATTTCTTCTCTGTATTATTCATCCTAAATAACACACATTTTAAGTCAGGCATGGTGGTGCATGCTTAATCCCAGTACATGGGAGGTAGAAGCAGGAGAATCTAAGTGAGATGTAGGCTAACCTGGTCTACATAGTGAATTCCAGGTCAGCTGGAGCTACAGGGAAGCCCTGTTTTAAAAAGAAAATCAAATATACATGGATGAGGTAGAGATAGAGATAGATGTAGAGTTATAAAGTATATTATCCTAGAGTACCATAATGATTACTTTCTTAAAATCTTCCAGAATCTTCTAGCTTCCAAACTTGAAAATTCACTTAGCAATCCAGAGTTTGCCAAAATCTGAGTTCAGTCTCACAATCTAAGCATTTGCTACAACTTTTCAGCATTAGCCCTAACTCAAAATCTAAACTCTGCCACCAGTTTAGACACGTAACTGAAATGTTCTTTACGGCCCTCTATCTGCTGTTCAAATGACACATTTTTCAGAGCCAAATTGAACCTCTACTTTTCTTCTACCCAAAATGATTTTCCATTTCCCAAACTCCTGTGCAAACTGTTGCTCACTCCATTTTCTGACGTCACACCCGTCTTGATTCCAATTCCTATAACCTGTGTGTGTTACTCTTTTTTATTACAAGGATGCCTTCAGCCTCCAAGCAGGTTTGTGTTTTTTCCATCATGATGTAGTAAGCTAAATTCACTCTGAGCATACTAATCTTGCATCTCCAGTTCTCCAAGGGCAAATACTTCTGATAGAGGAAACATTCGGAACTTTCTTGAGAACAGATGCCGTTTTATCACCTCTGTAGAGTTGTCAGATTTGACATGAACTGAACTCTTTTTCAGAAGAAATCATGTATTATTTGATAATATAAAATTATGTTTGCCTTTTAAAATATGTTTGCCTTAAATATTTATGGATTATTTAATGAAACCACATTCCTCCTTCTTAATTGTATATAATCCAGTTTGGTGTCACATAAACCTCATACTATGCTCACTAGCTGAACAATTATGGAAATAAGAGTGTAACCACAGAGAGCAACAAAGAGGCAGGATGAGAGGTCAAGGAAGAGAAGGAAACGTATAACAGAGTTAAGCGTAGAAAGCATTTCCACCTAACGCCTGTCAATATTCTTGCATTTCTTCATTCAGCAATTATTTATTTAATTACTATGTACCAGGAATTGTTTTGTGCAGTGAAAATATAGCCTTAAACAAAGAGGAGAAAGCTCTTGGTAATATGGAATCTATGTTACACTGTCAGAAAAGAAAAACGAATGCTTGTAACAGATAGAACCTCTCACATTATTCCTTCTCTTGGT